TGCCGAAAGCCCGTTTCGGGCCGGTGGCGACATTGCTCTGCACTCGAACTGGCTTGAGGGACTAGGGAGTTATACGGGAATTCAGATTCAACTAACTTGACATGGCGAGAGGTGTAGATCCTTCCAGTGGTTGGATTGAGACACAAGTATGCATGTTGATCAGCCGAGTAACCTACAAAAACACACATAGCAGACTTTGGTGCAAGTTTATGGTTAGCATATGGTTTAATCCAGGGAAAACATAAACAACCAAAACACTTTAACTTATGATAATCCGGGCTAATTTTGAGTAATTTGGAATAGGGTGACTGGTACCCAAGAATTGGTGTTGGGAGTCGATTGATGAGATAGGCGGCTGTTGTCATGGCGTGAGGCCAATATGTGAGGGGCAAACCCGAGTGATGGAGAAGAGAGAGACCAGTTTCGGCAATGTGCCGATTCTGGCGTTCAGAAATTCCATTGTGTTCAGGTGTATGAGGTGGGGTGGTGTGATGACTTATTCCATGAGTGCTTAAAAAAGGACGAAGACCAATATATTCACCACCATTATCCGTGTAAAGAATTTTGATGTTGTGATGAAAGAAATTTTCAACAAGCGATTTAAATTTAGGAAACAGAGTTTGTACATCAGATTTGCGTTTTATCGGATATAGCCAAATATAGCGAGTAAAATGATCAACAAACATGCAATAATAGCGAAGACCATCAATTGATAAAACAGGGGAAGTCCATACATCAGAGAAAATTATTTCCAAAGGATAAGATGATTTAAGAGTGGATTCATGGAAAGGAAGTTTATGACTTTTGCTAATTTGACATGAGTTACAATCTGATTGCTGGAATTTATTTGAACCCAAAGAAAAACGCTGCTGAATGAAAGTGAAGATAGAAGAGGAGGGATGCCCAAGTCTATGGTGCCATGAAGCATAGGATTCTGTGCGGACAGAGTGGAAGGACGGGGAGTTGGCTGGCCAGAGATAGAGTCCATCCACACATGAGCCTTTATGGGTTGTTTGACCCGTCTGCAAGTTCTTCACATGAAAAGAGTTTGGCAAGAAAACAACAGCAGAGTTAGTTTGTTTGGTAAGCTAAGAGACAGAAAGGATTTTCTGTTGCATGGAAGGAACGCACAAAGTATTTGAGAGGGATAAATCATTAAGTAAAAGTGTTCCAGAATGAGAGATGTTTAAACCTGAACCGTTACCCATAAACAGTGAGTCTGGACCCGTGTACAGATGATGAAGCGCTAGATTGGCAAGATCATTGGTGACGTGATGCGTCGCTCCACTGTCAACCAGAAAATTAGATTGAGAGGTGCCAGCAGTTGCAGTATGGACCTGAACCTATCCAGGGTTAGCAGAGGAGTAATGAGGAGGCGGCGGGACACCAGGGTGCTGCTGTTTGAAGGTGTGACACTGAGACAGAACATGACCCTTGACATTGCACCACTGACAGCGACCAAGAAACGGTTTGCGATTGCCAGGGCGTGAAGTGGATGATGCAGAAAATTGCCCAGACCGAGTTGGGTCGTGCCTGTGCATTCAAGGCTGTCATGGGAGTAGGAACCTGCCGTTGAGCAACAACAAGGGAGATTTCTTGAATGAGAAGCTTCTCGAGGAGGTCATCAAAAAGAATGGCAGTGTCCCTTGCATTGACGCCATCAATGACAGCTCTGTAGCCGTCGTCGAGACCACGCAAGACATGGTCAGTCATGTCTTCAACGGAGACAGGAGAGCCAAGTGAGGCAAGGAGATCTACAGTTTGCTTCAGAGAATGCATGTAGGTGGTGCTGGATTGGGTACCTTTGGACACCGTGTGGAGACGCTCCTTTAACTGCTTGAGGTGGCTGCGGATGCCTTGGCATAGGTGCGTTGGAGAAGAGTCCAGAGATCATGTGATGTCTTTGTTTGAGACATCAGGGATGCCACTTCAGGGGAGAGTGTGGTGAGGAGAGCACCGTATATAAGACGGTCCTGTCGACACCAGGTTTGGTAAGCAGGATTCGGAGTTGTCACCGGAGGTTCAAGGGTGGTGGAGACCGTTGTCGCCGGTGCAGGAAAGGATCCATCTGGATATTTGAGAAGATCATAGCCATCGAGGAAAGCTTCAACTTGAAGTTTCCAGGTGAGGTAATTGGAGGGAAGAAGCTTGGTGACACTACTGAGGGTGATGCAAATGAAGGGTTGTGATGGCTCATGAGAGTTGCTAATAGATGAAGAGTTGTCGTTGGCCATGGGAGGCAAAAAAAAAGGAAGGAGCGGCGTCCTGTGTTGGGAAAAAAAAAAGGGAGAAGAGGATCGTGTATTAGGCTGATACCATATAGGAAAATGTTTGGAATGAATTTGATTGATTTTGTCATTGGTTTACTGTAGTTCAAATATACAAATTGATAACGTAAATTGGAAAGAATCACGGGAACAAACTCCACCAATTTAGCACTAACAGTTAGCCTAAATAAAGGGAAAGCAAATATGCAAAAGCTGGCTAATAAAAACTGATTATTATAATTTAAAAACTAATTATTATAATTGATACCACGGACCAAGCAAGAGTTGTTTTAGGAGAAGTTTTCAAATGATGCAGATATGGAAACTAAGAGCACCGTATATTTCTTTAGTCACGGTGCCAAATACCTGTTATTTTGTCATTATTGGCTAAGGATTCTACGAACTGGGACATATTTATTTTTCAAATACACGCAAATCTAGTCCCATTCTGTAGTTTCCAGGAAGGTCCAGTTGCAGATATTCATATTTGTCTTTCCATCAGGGCCAATTGGATCATAAGGTGAATCTTCTGCATATTCAGTTGGCATTGACTTCCAGTGCAGGCTAGGTTCCCATTCTGCTTCTTTGAGGACCTTTAGTATCTCTTTTGCCACTATGTTGCTCCCCTCACAAGTCAGATGAACTCCATCCCTATCAAACACCACTCAGCCAAATGAAGGATAGGAAGATTTGAACATTCTCAATTAAGATTTAATGGCATATGACTGAATGCATGCATACTTACGTGAAGCAAACATCTCTCCAGTCATCCCTTTTCTGGAGTGCAGACCACAGATCAATTGCCTTGATATCCATCTCGCGACAGAGCTCCAAACATGCTTCTGAGTATATTCGACAAGATTCATTTGTCCTTAATCGCTGCCCCGGTACACTGGTTAAAAATCCAAAATATTATTCATCAGAGTTAAGATTTAAATATAAATACCAAAAAAAAAAAAAAAGAAGAGGAAGAAAAACTGAAACAAGAATGTTAAGTGCTCTAGAAAAGTCATGATTCTCAATGGAGATTAGTTATGGGTGAACTTCATTATAATACTATGGTTACTAAAACAAACTAATAATGCACCAGGAAAGCAACCATTCATCCTCTGAACTTGCAACGTGCTTGCTGTGTATAAGTTCAGCTGCTGTTGGTTTCAAGTGGAAAATGTCAAATTTTAGATACAGCCACACTATGTTACTCAAGATGGATCTAAATTCAGAAAAACAATATAAATCAGATGAGCTTTTGGGAACAGATTTTATTTATATAAATCCAGATATAGTTCATGACTTCTATGGCTCAGTTCTCTTCTCTGGCTACTCTTAGTATTGGAATATTTGTCTGTCATCGCATAATCCTAATCTTGACCCAAGTATAGGAGTCACTAGCAATAAATTATCTTCCTTTTATTTTTGTGAAATTATAATAATTAAAAAAGCAATTCAATTGCAGTCAAAACCTGTTTCCATAAATTTGTGCCTCATTGACAGGAGGAGCACTGAGAAATATAATGCGAGTCTTCTTTGAAAGGCTCTGGCAATCATAAGAATTTGTGTCAAACTTGGCAGTAATAATAATGAAAGGTAGAAAAGCGGAGATTTTCCAAGCAGTGCACAAGAAATACTTGAAGGTTGAAGGGTTTCATTTATATAATAATAAGTGTGTTATTTTAGAATGAAAGTTTACCTTGAGATGGACAGCAATCTTTCTCATATTTTCAATGTATTCTTGGAGAGGTACATGCTGACCAAGGCCACTTGGATGCGGAAGAAGAGAATCATTACCACCAAAGTACACAATTACCAATGATGGTTGCTCAGTGGCATTCTAAGTTGAACAAGAGGACAGAGCAAAAGGGTAATTCCTTGTTTGTCAGTCTGAGCAATAATCAGAGTAATCATGATTTGCAAACCATAATCTTAAATTTTAAAAAGCTACAAATTTTGACAATTAAGTAGTTCATTGTAGTACATTCATATTGTAAAATACAAAATAATTTTCCTAGTATGTCCAAGTTCATTTCTAAGAAAAGTTGAAGATATCATGGGCAAGATTACTCAAACCACTCAGTAGCATACCTAGTCACTTTCCAACTCTTTTCCGAGATGCCATTTTTTAAAATTTATGATGAAAGGACAAAAGATTCAAGATGAAGCAAGAGGAGGGAATTCTGAATCAACAGTAGCATTCATATTGTCAATACCTTTGGGAAAATTTCATCCAAAACCTGCAGAGCACGCCTTGAATTCCAACCAGAGTATCCTCGCAGAACTATATCCGCCTATGTCATGTCAAGGTGCAACAAGTAGAATTCAATGCCATCATAATCAATCCCAGAAGAGCACACATAAAATGTAATTATTTCACTCAATCATAATCTGAAATTTAAAAAATCAAGGCATTTTATATTCAGTCGTATTTGAAACAGTTAGATATTATTCTAATACCGTGGCCCTGTACTGGAACCAAAATGGGGTGAAGAGTGAAGTAGACCCACCACTCGCAATAATTCCTCAATGTGGTGATTTGCTGGAAGCCAATAAAAGCATTCCCCAACATTTCAGCAGTCAATAATTTAGGTTTATCTTAAATTTTAATTAGAACTCATCTAGCATATTTTCAATAAGTTGGCCCACCATTTGAAAAAAAAAAAAAAAAAAGCTGCATTACTATCTAGCAATTAAAAACATTCCTCAACACTTCAGCAGTCAATAATTTAGGCTTATCTTCCATTTTAACAAGAACTCGCCTAGCATATTTTCAATACCCACCACTTGAAAAAAAAAAAAAAAAAAAAAAAAAAAAAAAAAAAAAAAAAGCTGCAGTATTATGCAGCATTTTAGCATATTTTCATATTATCCAATTATATAGGTAAATGACATTTTTGTTTGCCCCTAATTAGAACTTATGACATTGAGAAACAAGACCCCTTTACGGTTACCCTCGGAAAAGTCAACCAAAAAGACACATTTCTCAACATAAGGCCTATATGGGTAAACGAGTTTCATATGTTAAAATTGTTTATAGATAAGCTAATTTAAACAAGTTTTCTTGTACTAACTTCTCCAAAATCTTATTCATTAATTTATGTATAAGTTAATTTTACTTTACAGAAAAACATTTTAATTTTCTTTTTTATTTTTCTCGTCTAAAAATACCTCTGAAGAAACTCATCTAAACAGGCCAAGTCTCATCCAGTAGCCGCCGGAACTTAGAAAACAACACATCCAATCTACCTCTACAGAAAATCACAACAGAACCAAGCAAATTGATCGCTGGCAATTTCACACACTTATGTCCAATTCAATAAAAAAATGAAATAAGAACACAAACAAAATAATCTAAGGCTCATTCATTCTGAGATGGGTCAATTAAATCCTGTCACATGCATCGAAAAACCATCCAAAACCAAGAGCAGAGCTATTTAATATTTATCCATCCCCGATTACTTTACAGAACTTGTGATAGAACAAATACAGAAATCAGTTACATAGAAGATTAAAAATTGACACACATAAATGACAAGAAATCTGTGTACATACATTCCCAGATTGATAGATTTGAAGTTTGAAGGTACCTTACGAGCGTACAAGTGAGCAAGAATAGAGCCCCAACCTTGGTGTTGGTAAGAGTAACTGAGTTGAACAATGGAAGAACCAAAGAGCACAAACTGAGGCCTCACTGGTCCCACCATCTCTTTTTTTCAATCAATCAAACTGACACAGATCCGAAACCATATATGTAGAATTGAACTGTGTTATCTTGTTGAGTCAAACAGTCAAAGGCTAAGTGCTCTCTTCTACCTACTTTTCTTTTGCAACTATACCATGAGTTACAACAATAACATTAATCATTCAGGGAATTTCATGATCTTGGTCTTGGTGTACACACAATTATTATTAACCAGTTTAATCTTTAAAAAAATTGTATAAATAATAATTAGTAAAGTTAGAAAACTATTTTAATATTTTTTTAATTTTTAATAATGGTTCATTATCTTTTCTAATGTGTATATTCAAAGAAAAACAGAATACTTACTATTTACTTAGTTAAAATATCAATAAAATTAACCGTATTAAACACGAATTTCAATATTATATGAGAGTGTTTTTAAGAGGTTTTTTTCTTCAACGAAAGAGTTTTAAAGTTTTCCTTTAATTTCTTGTCTAATTTAATTTTTATTTATCATAATTATTTATGAATTAAATTTTAATATTTAAATAAATTATTAATAAATAAAAATATTATTGTATTATGATATAAATTATTTATTATAAATATAAAATATAATTTATATGTTTAAGAATATCTATTTATATAAATTTTAAATATGATTTACATATTTAAATATAATATTTATTTATACATAATTTATTGTAAATTTTAATTATATATAATAAATATTTTATTTATACATTATATATATTAAAATACTAATTAGGTTGAGTTAACTTACTAATTGAATGAAAAGGAATTGAATAAGGCTGCCTTTTGGGACTTAACCAAGC